GTATTGTCAAGACAATTATTTACTATTGGAAAAGATGCTCAAATGAAAATGATGAATACAAAAGTATTAATTGCAGGATTAAATGGAATGGGTGCTGAAATTACAAAGAATGTATTATTGATGTCTGTTAAATCAGTTGGATTATTAGATAATAGAAATGCATGTTTAGCTGATTTAGGAACAAACTTCTTTTTAAGAAAAGAACATATTGGACATTGTATTAGTGAATCAACATATAAACAATTCCAAGAATTAAACAATAATGTTCCTGTTAGAGTAGAAAAACGAGAATTAACAGATGAAACATTATATAATGATTATGATATTATTGTTCTTTGTTATTTACTTTCTGAAAAACAGTCTATTCATATTAATGAATTATGTAGAAAATATAATGTCAAAATGGTTTATGCTGTTAATAGAGGACCATTTACCATGATCTTTAATGATTTTGGAGATAATTTTGTTGTTTTTGATTCAAATGGAGAGACACCATTAACTTATATTGTTAATGAAGTTGTTGGAAACACTATTCAATTTATTGATGAAAATTTCTGTACATTAGATGTTGGAAATGAAGTTCAACTTGATGAATTTATTGGATTACCTGGATTAAATTATTCAGAAAATGGAGGAAAAACATTTAAAATTACTAAAAGAACAGCATATTCAATTGAGATTGGAGACTTAAGTCAATATGGTAAATACATTAAAGGAGGAAAAGTTACAGAAGTTAAACCTACTGTTACATTACATTATAAACCATTAAAAGAAAGACTAAATGAACCAGGAGAAATTACATTTACTAATATGTCTAAAATGGAAAGACTAAGAGGTTATCAAGCATTATATCATGGATTAATGATATTTATGGATAAATATGGAAGAAGTCCAAAAAGTCATGATGAAGAAGATTATAAACAATTTAAGAGTATTGTTGAAGAACTTCACATTGACTTAGATGAAAATATTATTAAGATTTTCTGTTATTGTAACAATGGATTTTTCTCACCATTAGACACAGCATTTGGAGGAATCGCGGCTCAAGAAGTATTAAAAGCAGCATCAGGAAAATACACACCATATTGTCAATATATGTTTTATGATTGTCTTGAAATTCTTCCAGACAACTATTTAGAATTACCAAAAGAAGAATTTAATGATAATGGAAGATATTCAGGACAAATTGATATTATAGGTAAAACTGTTCAACAAAAGATAGAAGATTTATCAATTTTCCTTGTTGGTTCAGGAGCTATTGGATGTGAAGTATTGAAGACATGGGCAATGATGGGATTGAGTAGTGGAAAAGGGTTAATTCATATCACAGATAATGATAATATTGAAAAGTCCAATTTGTCAAGACAATTCTTGTTCAGAAACAATAATATCAATCAATCAAAATCCAAAGTTGCAAGTGAAGCAGTTAAAATAATGAACCCAGAAATTCATATCAAAGATTATCAACTTCGAGTTGGAGAAGCTACAGAAAACATTTTTACTAAAAACTTCTTCAAGTCATTAAGTGCTGTTACTACAGCATTGGATAATGTACAAGCTAGAATGTATTGTGATGCACAATGTGTTAAATATGGACTTGCTATGATTGAAGGAGGAACAACAGGAACAAAAGGAAATACACAAAGTATTATTCCACATATCACACAATCATATTCTACAGGATCAGTTAGAGACCCAGAAGAAAAAAGTATTCCAATGTGTACACTTCATAATTTCCCGAATGAAATTGATCATACAATTCAATGGGCAAGAGATAGATTTGAAGGATTCTTTAAAACAGAAATTGAACCAGTCAAAAATTATAAAGAACAAGGAGAAAGTTATTTGGAATCATTAAAGAAAGAAAGTCCATTAGTTTTATTAGAAAATTTAAAATTGATTGTAGAAAATGGAATTAGTAAAGTTCCACATAGTTTTAAAGAATGTATTGAATGGGCAAGAGAGAAATATGATATAAATTTTGTTAACACGATTCAAAAACTCATTACAAATTTCCCAGAAAATACAATTACAGATGAAGGAATACCATTTTGGCATGCACCAAAAAGATTCCCACACATTTATCCATTTAATATTGATAATCAATATGCAAAAGAATTTATTATTTCAGCATCACTTCTTCGAGCAGAAATATATGGCATTAAAAATGAATTAAGTAATGAAGAAATTATTAAATATGCATATTCATTAAAAGCATATACAAGTGAAGAAAAGAAAACAGAAGAACCAGAAGCAGAAATTAAAGAACTTAGTGAAGAATTAAAGGGAAAAGAAATTCCAAAAGTTAGTCCAATAGAATTTGAAAAGGATGATGATAATAATCATCATATTGAATTTATAACAGCATGTAGTAATTTAAGAGCAGAGAATTATTGTATTAAACCAGCTGATTTCTTAAAAACAAAGTTGATTGCAGGAAAAATTATACCAGCAATGATTACTACTACAGCTGTAGTTTCTGGATTACAATGTATTGAATTATTGAAGGTTATTGAAAAGAAACCATTAGAAGCATATCATTGTTCATTCTTAAATTTAGCTATAGGATATATGGATGCTACTGAACCAGAAGCAGTGAAAAAGACAAAAATTTGTGATGGACTTGAAGTATCTATTTGGGATAAATTAGAATTTGATGGAAA